AAATGGAGCGGCGGCCAGAGGCAGGGGCTCCGGGACCTCGGAGCCACGGCTGCTGCCACCTGCCTCTGCCAGCACCAGCTGTGTGACCCCGGAGACGTGCGGTCACCTCCCTCTGCCTCTGCTTCCTTCTCTGTAAAAGGGTAGTAATGGTCCCCTCTGGGGGTCTGTGGTGAGGGGCCTGGGAGAGCTCAGTGGGTAATACCCCCTGCTGTGGTTGTGGGGACACTGGGGGAGCAGGGGCAAGGTTGGCTGTGGGGGGCTGAAGAGCTCTGTGTCTCTGGATGGAGTTAGGTGCTGACCGGAGGCCACTGGAAAAGAAATATTCTATTTATTTTCAAAGTTTACTGGTGGGAGAGGGAGAGAGTGAGAGAGCCCCATCCACTGGTTCACTCCCCAGATGCCTGCAATTTGGGGCCAGAGCAGGGAGCAGGAAACTCAATCCGGGTCACCCTGTGGGTGGCAGGCACCCAGCCACTTGAGCGCTCCCCACGGCCTCCATCTGCATTAGCAGGAAGCTGGAGTCAGGAGCAGGAGCTGGGATGCAAACCCAGGCCCTCCAGATGTGGGATGTGGGCATCTTAACTGCTGGGCCGAGTGCCTGCTTCAATACTGCGTATCCAGGGGCTGCCATGGAAACTGCCCCTGTGATGCCAGCATCCCATGTTGAAGCCATGGTGCGAGTGCTGGCTGTTCTGCGTCCAATCTAGCTCCTTGCTGATGCACCTGGAGAAGCTGTGGATGACAACTCAAGCACTTGGGTCCCTGTCACACAGTGGGGGAGACCAGGATGGAGTTCCTGGCTCCTGGCTTTTAGCCTGACCCAAACCTGGCTGTGGTGGGCATTTGGGGAGTGATCCAGTGGATCAAGGTCTCTGTCGTCTCCATCACGCGGTCTTGCAAGTTAAAAAAGTTTATAAAAAAACTACCTTCGAGTGGATGAGCAGCTTGGGGAATTGATTTCTGGCCGGGGGAGGAGGGCAGCAGGAGAGGGCTTAGTGCAGGGCGGGGCTGGTATGGCAGATCTTGTCTTGGCTGCGTGCAGAGCAAACACAGCACCAAAAGGGGGAGCGGGGGATGGCGCTTGCTTCTCGCCTCCTCCCCCTCCGCATCCCCTCCTGGCTTCTCTTCTTTTTTGCCCCATCTCATAGTCTTGTCTTCCCTCCCTCTCTCCTTTTCCTCTTCTCCCTCCTTTTCTCCTCCTCTCCTCCCTCCTCTCCTCCCTCTTTCCCTCCCTCCCTTTGCCTGTCCCTTTCTCTCTCTCTCCCTTCTCGTCCTGCCAAGAGCGCCTGCTCTCCGAGTCGGGTCCTGAGTAACCCACTTGTGTATGTGCGGTTTACCTACCTGTAGAAAACTCATACCCTCCCACCTCCGCGGGCTGTAGGCACAAGGTATTTAATTCGACTCCACAAATATTGACTGTGCTCTGGTTACCGAGTGTCCTTTGTGTGGGAAGTTCCAGAGAGAAGCAAATGGACAGAGGCAGTCTTCGGAGGAGCCAGCCGGGGGCCCCTGGCTGATGCTGGCTGGAATGATGTTGACCCCCCCACCCTTCCCTACCAAAGGATGCTAAAGAGCTCTCTGTCTACCTGCACCCTGGGCCCTCAGCCCTCCCCGGCACAGTGCAGAAACGGGGCATTGCTGCCAGCTTTGCCCGATCTTAACAAGACCGTGCATTGTAGGCATAGGCTGCAGCAATGAAGTGACCTCAGCCCGTGTGGGTAGGAGAGTGTAAGTGTTTGCGGGGTCGCCGTGGGGTCTTGACAGCGCACACACAAGCCTAAACTGGGCTGGTGCATCTATTTCCTCGCCTCCTATAAAGTTTACAGGCCATCAGCATCACTAGGGCTTTTCCTTCCACACGGTTTTCAGAGCCACGCCAAGCTCTCAAATAGGCAGACCCCGTTTCATCTGCATGTTGCTGCACTGGGAGAGCAAATCGATCCAGGAGCCTGGCACCATCTGCAGAAGCCCTTGGGGCAAGAGGGGATGTGGAGAAATGAGGGCAGTAGGATTTGAAGAGTGATGGGGGGAGCAGCTGCGTCTCACGCTCGTGACACGATGGCCTCTCCTGGCCCGGGTGGGATGCGGGGCAGCCTGGTGACAGGTTCTGGCTGATGAAGATGAACGGCAGCCGCACGTGCCCTGTGGGCTGGATGACTTCCCGCATGCGTGGGCGAGACCTGCCGCCCCCTCCTTCCCTCTGCTGTTGCAAGCAGCCTTGTTCTACGTGGGGTTGCTTCATCTCACCACTGAAAAATGCCCCGACCAGGCAGTCTCTCTTTTTTTTTAAACTTAGCTCATGTTTGTCTGTCTTTCTCTCTCCCTCTTCCTCTCTCTCTCTCAGATTTATTTATTTGAAAGTCAGAGCTACACACAGAGAGAAGGAGAGGCAGAGAGAGAGAGAGGTCTTCCCTTCACTGGTTCACTCCTCAGTTGGCCACAATGGCCAGAGCAGGGCTGATCCAAAGCCAGGAGCCAGGAGCAGCTTCCGGGTCTCCCATGCGGGTGCAGGGGTCCAAGCACTTGGGCCATCTTCTATTGCCTTCTCAGGCCACAGCAGAGAGCTGGATCGGAAGTGGAGCAGCTGGCTCTCAAACTGGCGCCCATATGGGACGCTGGCACTACAGGTAGCGGCCACGGTGCAGGCTCCAACCCCGCAGTGTCTTTGCTGAGCACCAGCGGACGCAGTGGAGTCCAGGCAGACGTAAGCGTGGTGGTGTTCAGCCCCTGAGCTCAGGGCTTCTTGCATCTGCAGCACAACTTTACTTGGAAAACAAAAAGGCAAGACATCTGAGTTTGAGATCATCTTCTCTTCACCGCTCTGCAGCATTCACAATAGAAAATCTCCTGTCTTCTCAGCGGAGACGGCTCTCGATGTGGTATGAGTAAAAGGTATAGCAGTTTTGTTGGCCCAGGAATGCAATGAAACTGACCACGCTACAGGTGGTCGCTCTGGTTGCAATGTGAGGATGGGGACAAGAACTAGAACCTGGTCCCTCACTCCCACAGCGCAGAGAGCAGCAGAATTACAGACTACATGCGCCCTCTGACCATTGCCATGGACGTTCACGGGGATCTACCTTCACCTACTAGTCTAAGCAGGCATCACCTTTCCATCTCTAATTGCTACCTCCCATGTGCCAGTCACTAGAGAGAGAGAGAGAGAGAGAGAGAGAGAGAGAGAGAGACGAGGAAAGCTGTCCTCCAGAAGGAGCTTAGCCCAGCACTTGGAGTGGCCCAAGGAGGATTTGACCCTGGTACTCACAACACAGCAAAGAGCAACTTCAGGTGAGAAATCAGGGAAGACTTCTCGGAAGAGGTGGTAGCTCACCTGATGGAGCCTCGCCCCTCACTGTATCTGTGGGCCAGTTCCTGATGGTGAAGATGTGGGAACGGAGCTGGCTTTGGCTCACCATCCTCCCTTACCATGTAGGCCCACTCAGGCCTCCAGAGCCTCCCAGGAATTGACTCCAGACCTCTCTGTGGGCCCAGTGACTTCCCAAATTGCCTTGGGCTTGTCTAGGCTTTTGGGTGCATAGAATTGGGGTCTTCTGCCTGGGGGACGGCTCTTTCTGTGGAACCAGGATTTAAGCACGGGTCCTGCCATTCTAGGAAAACGCTCCCTGCCAGTGCTCGGCTGGCCAAGTTTCCTACAAGGAATCGCTGGCTTCGTGGAGGTGGTGGTAGGTGTGAGCTCCCATCTCCAGTCTTGGGAGGTGGGCGGGGACGGGGGGCACCCCTGGACTAAGACTTTCCTGGGGTTTGTGGAGCTCGGCTGCCTTCAGCCAGCAACTGCTTCACCAGCGAGCACACATTCGTACATCACAAGCGGCTGCATTAATACTGGGCTGGAATGGGTTGCCTTCTGCAACCCAAGGCAAGGCTGCTGACTTCGTAGCTTTCCCTACCCTGTACCTGCTGCAGGAAAACTCGGGTGGGGGTGGGGAGGGAAGCAAGGTGGTGGAGGGGTGCTCGCTGCCTGTATCTCTGAGCTTTGTCAAATTCAGGGGAGGATAAGCCCTGTTACACTGCGCGTCAATAAGCATTTATCAAATGGCTATTTTGTGAGCAGCACGGAGAGACGTTATTTTGTTGTTAATTAACAGTACTGTCACGAGGACTTGATAACAAGGCACAGAAGTTAGCCAGTGTTTACAGTAACATTTTTTCCTGGGATGCAGGATGCCTGCGTCCACTTTATTGATCGCTAAGCAACCTAAACGCCCGGACCTGGACGCCGTCAGCGACTTTACACAGCACAGGAAGGCGACGGCGACGCTGAGGCTAGCTGGGTTTTTCCAGCCGTTTGTTGCCTTTGGATGGCGGTGGCTTCCCAGGAACGCGTTCTCACACCCATCAGGCTGAGGCTCTGGGGCACGCTGGATAATCTGGAGAGAGCTCTACCTTTTGGGGGCGCAGGGCTTTTAAAATCCACCAAGCCCTTTGGCTTTGCGCGGTGGGGGATGAAGGTGGGTGTCAGTGGCTCCCTGTGCCCTGAGCGTGCGTACACGTGGGACAGCTCAGCCGCAGGCAGACCCCGGGGAGGCCACGCCGCTTCTCTAACCTTCACCTCGGACAGCCCCCTGGAACCCCTTCCCCAAATCGCGCTTGGGGCCGGCTGTGGTTGGAAAGAAAATCGAAACTGCCCAGTCCTATGCGCTGGCTCCCTGGGGCTTCGCTGCAACTTCTCGGCTCAGGGGTGTTCCACCCTCGTGCGCCCCCCAAAGTGCCCTAGCCCGCTCCCCCCGCCAGCCCACTTCCCGCCACGTTCCTCCGCAAACTAAACCGGGCTGGGTGGCAGCACCACGGTGATTTTATTCGTATTTTTTCCCCCTCCGGTTTTGTCATGGAAACGCTGACAGTCCCTGCAGACGGCCACGCAGCCCGGCTGGCCCGGGTACTGAGGGCTTTTGGGACCCTGCGGGAGCATCGCTGCGCGCTCCGCACTCCCCGGGAAACAGCTGGACGCGACCATATCCCGGGCAGGGGCGGGGGGAGCGCGGCGCTCCGCCCCGGCGCTCGGCTCGCTGCCTCCGCCCCGCTCTCCGCAGGCGCCCTCCCCGTGCCGGGGGCTGCGAGTTGCGTTTGGTAAAATCCAGCCCCGGAATATATAGCTCCTTGGAGCGCAATGAAGTAGCCCTCGGGGAGCAGGGAGCCGGGCCCGTCCGAAAGCCACAGCGGCCGGCGCGGCAGCGGCAGCGGCAGCGGCAGCGGCGGCACCACCACCACCACCACCATCACCGCTCGAACCCCGGCCGCCTGGCCCGCGACGAGCAGGGGAGCCGAGGAGGAGGAGGAGCAGAGGCGCGCTGCCGGCGAGTGCACACGCATCTCGGCACTTCCCGACCAACTCCGGGCGTCTTCCACACCCCTGCCCCGGGCTGGGGGCTCCGAGAGAGCCTCCGGGAAGCCTAACCAGCCCGGCCGAGTCTCCCCGCTGAGCCGTGCCCAGCCCTACCCTGCGCCTCTCGGGCTTGGTCCGTGCGGCGGCGGCGGCAGCGGCGGGGTCTCTGCTCCTGCGCCCCGGGCGCGCCTCCGGGACACCCCGGTGCCCGCAGCCAGGACAAAGCCATGAAGCCGGCGCTGCTGGAAGTGATGAGGATGAACCGAATTTGCCGGATGGTGCTGGCCACTTGCTTGGGATCCTTTATCCTGGTCATCTTCTATTTCCAAAGTATGTTGCACCCAGGTAGGGGGCGCATTAGCGTGGTTTTGTTGGATATTTCCCTCCCTCTCCCTCCCTCGCTCGCTCGCTCGCTCCGCCTGGTTTCTGCCTCTTCCAACCTTACCTCTTCCCTCTCGGCCTCTTTGGAGCTTCTCGTCCCCGGTTCTGCCCGGGCCTCCGGGGTCTGCATGGGGAGGAGGAGGGAAGGTGCGCGCCCTCCTCTGCCAGCTCCAGGTTGGAGGATGGGGCCGGGAGGGACAGCACTTGTTTTCTTTTTCTTTTTTTTTTTTTTCCATTTTTTTTTCTTTGTGTCCCTGTCTTCGTGGTATCAGGGAGAAAGGTAGAGGTCGGGGAAGCTGGAGGGGAGATGGAGGGCTTGGTTCAGAGAAGAGGAAACCTCCTCCCCACGCCTGCCGTGGTCTGAGGATGAAAGGGGAGTCTGGAGCCGGCATCTCTTTACTGGGGTGCGCGCCACCTTCTCCCTGATGGGGGGTCAGGGGTGAACAGTGCCCACCCACCGGGTGGTTGGGAATCCCCAGGCAGGCTGGGGAGCCCCGGGCGAGGTTCCCACGTGTCTGAGCAGGTGTGGGGAGGGAGGCGCTGCCCCTCTGCTGGCCGTTTGCAGTACACCCCGGGGTCCAGCCCTGCAGTGACCTTGGGGCTGGGACCCTGGGGCCGGATCTATACCCATCCCGGTTCATCCCTGGGACCCTGGGCTGGGGACACAGAACTCCGGGGTCCCGCCTTGGGCACGGCAGTGTGGAGGAAACTTTGACCAGACCCTGGGCAGACCATTAGGTTGCAGGTTGCACCCTCCCACCGCCCAACACGTACACTCCTGCATTCTCCATACCCAGGATCCCTGGGCCGTGGGAATCAACCCCTTCCCCCAGCCCTGCTTGGCTTAGGCAAAGGTCTCCAGCTGACATCCAGCCTGGGAGAGAGATGAGGCTCGCGGCGTCCCCCTGAGGGGCGCACTGGAAAGTTTGGGACCCGGCAAGAGAGGGGCGCCCTCGAGCGCTGCGGCCGGGGGTTCGCAAGCCCAACAGGTAGAGGCTTCCCCTCCGGGTGGCGGGTGGCGCAGCTCTCCATGGCAAGCCTGGGCCCGCCCCCTCCGCGTTTCTTGCTCTTCTGCAGCCCCCCGCTGGGCCACGTTGAGCTCCCAAATTCATTTTTTACGCCTCCGAGTTGCCTTTCTCAGCATAGTCACGGCAAAAATTTGCTTTTCTAATGGCAAAGAGGAGGGCGGTGGAAATGTTTCCTTCCAGGAAAACGGGGTTGGTGGTGTTCGCCTTGCGTTCCGCCCTCTCCTGTCGCTAACGCCTAACGCTTTCGCACTCAGCCAGCGGCCGGGTGCAGGGCCAAGGCCCAGTCTCGGAGGGATTCCTTGACAGTGGCCACACATGGCCCCTGTGCCCCGTGGGGCCCCCCGAGCAGTCGTTCAGGCCCCGGGCACTGCCAAGGATAGGGTCTGCCAGCACTACGTGTAACCTCAGGACATCCGAGCCAGCCCTGTACAAAAGATGGCTTTTGTTTGCAGCTGGGTGTTTATTTTTAGTTTAATGTCAGCGAACTCCAGCGGGTGTCTGTCTCCTCACCCAAACCTGTGGTTGTGAAAACTTCTTCCAAGGGAATTTAAAAATGGAGCTGGCTGACGTTCTGGGCAGCCAGGCGGTGGCTGCAGCGGGCAGGGCCAGACAGACGGGCCATCTGGGAGAGCCAGGCCCTGGGGCCAACCCAGACCAGGCCAGACTCGCCCCCAGAGGCCTAGGGGACTAGGTGCTGTGCACATATGTGGGAGTTCCAACAGTTTGCTAAGAAAGGGCTGCGTGCTGGGGTCTGGATGCTGGAGATGTGTGTAGGCCCATTAGAGCTTCCCTGGGGCTCTGCAGAAATGCCTGGAACACAGGAATGCGCCTCTGTGCCACTGAGCATTTCCTTGGGTCCTGTGCACTGGTTAGGAAGTAGCTTTCAAACGGCAGCAACTAGGAAGCAACTTTGAACCTGTAATTGGCACTTTGCTGAAATTCCCAGCTCTCATGAAGTGCTTGAAAGCAGCTGTGGCTCTTTCCCGGCCGGGGACAGAACCTCCTCCACTGTGTGCTGAACCGGGTCCTGCGCCCTTGGTCTTGCCCTGCCCCAGCTTCCCTGCTGGTCCCGCATCCCCCTCAGAATCCGCACCTGCTTATTTTTCACCTCTCTGGGAAGATGCTCTTTCGATACTTAATTTCCGATCTATAGAAATACTGCTTTCGAATCATTTTCTTGACTGCAAAACTGTAGATAGATGGAACACTCCTCTGTATTTCAAATTTTATATAATTCCACAACTTTTATGTCAGCAATTTATAATTAGATAGGGTATAAAGTATGTTCTGGCACCCATATTAGATATTTTATTGTTGTTGTCCATTTCATTGAAGTATACTGCTGACGATGGCTGATACTTCTTTTTCTTCCTACTTGGGATTTTAAAAGTTATACCGTCTTTGCTGCTCAGAAGCCTTTTGGGGTAAGGACAGCTGATCCTTTAGTCTGGCTCTGTAGTTTCAGTCTCTCCAGGTCACCCTGGGAGAGGCAGAAGGGACCACAGCATGGCACAGATTGTGTTACTAAAAATTCGGAGCCCTCTGGCGGGAGTTCCAGATACCTATAAATGAACTAGAAAAAGTAGTATTGCAAAATAAATGGGTTCCTGGCTTCACAGGCGGCTGGAGGGAGTGAGCAAGGGAGGAAGAAACTGAAAGGAGACAGCTGGCAGGGGGCTGACTGGCTCTCCCGTAATCTGGGGGCCCTTGTCTTTGTCGGCGTTTGTAATTCAAGAGCTTGAGTAATTTGTCACTTGAGTAATTGGTCGTCAGTTGCAGGAGGGCTCAGAGAAGTGGACCTTCTCAGTAAGACCGTTTCTGTTTGAAGTCTGACCTTAGAACAGGCTCCATACTCATCTCACTTGCACAGTACCTGACACACAGTAGGTCCTCAATAGAATATTTGCTGGGTGAAAAAACATGAGATGATCAGACTCCAGGCAACCCTTTCTGGTCTTCAAGCCTTGCCCGGAATGCCTGGGGGATAACTCTGGCTCTGTGGGCTCCCTTCCCTGCTCTCCCAGACTTTTAGTTCCCCTGAGACATGGACCCCAGCGGGAGCTTGTCAGGCACCAGATAGGAGCTTTCATCATGGCCCTGGAGGTGGCAGGCACCTGGGTTACTGCTCGGCGTCCTGAGCACAGGGAGGCTTTGGCTGCTGTACCAGTGAGCTGCAGACGTCCGTCCATCCCCAGGACAGACAGCGCCTTTGGGCGAGAACTTCTGATGAGTGAGAATGGAACTGCACCCTGTGGCCGAGTCCTCCAGTGAATGCAGCCTCTCCACACAGTAGAAGGGCTCACCGCCTGCCCGGGCTGCGCTGGAGCCACACAGGGCCAGGCAGAGCCCAGAGGCGCGCAGGCTACCTTTGTAGGCTGAGTGTGTGAACGCAGCTCGCCTGCACCTGGCTTCGGGGTCACTCCCTGCCACTGTGGTCTTTGTTTGAAGGCTACCATTTGTAAAAGAGAAGCTGGCAGAGGAGAAAGCCGTTTCTCCTCTCTCTTTTTTAAAGGGATGTGTGCCCTTTCGTGTTTTTTTTTTTTTCTTATAATTTTTAAAAGCTTATTTGAAAGTGAGACACGGGAAAGATGGAGGTCTCCCATCTGCTGATTCACTCCCCAAATGCCCACAACAGCCAGGCCTGGGCCAGGAGCCAGGAGCTAGGCGCTCGGTCTAGGTCCTCCACGTGGAGCCAGGGACCAAATACTTGGCCTCCCAAGTAGCAAGAAGTTGGAATCCTGGTAGGACTTGGCACTTGGAACTAGGCCCTCCTGTAGAGGATGGGGGCATCCAAGTAGGACCTTTTTTTTTCTTAAGATTTTATTTATTTATTTGAGAGGTAGAGTTAGAGAGAGAGAGACAGACAGATGGGCGGACAAAGGTCTCCCATCTGCTGGTTCACTCCCCCAATGACAGTAACTGCCAGAGCTGAACTAATCCAAAGCCAAGAGCTAGGAGCTTTCTCTGGGTCTCCCACGTTGGTGCAGGGGTCCAAGTACCTGGGCCATCCTCCGCAGCTTTCCCAGGTGCATTAGCAGAGAGCTGGATCGGAAGTGGAGCAGCCAGGAATCGAGCCAGCACCCGTGTGGGATGCCAGCTGTGGCTTTAACATGCTATGCCGTAGCGCCGCCCCTACACTCTTTCTTTTAAGACTCCTTGAGTCCCCATCTTGCAGTTTCCTCTTATCAGAGTGAACATGAAATGTGTTTTGTATTATAATTTTAATTTAATTATAAACTCACTATGTGCTTCTTTTAGATAGTTTGGGATATATAAAAGAGAAACAGTTATCCATTATTCCATCCTCTAAAGCAAACTGGCACTTTCCCCTTATATATTATAGGATTTATTTTTAAGTTTCATTTAAAATTTTTTATTGTTACTTTTTAATTTATTAATATGTAGAGAACAGATTTCATCACTTTCATAGATAAGATGCCAAGAATGCAGCAGTACTTTTCTTCCCTCCCTCCTCCTCGCTGTCTTCCCTTTGAATTTTCTGATAATGACATTTCCTTGCTAATCACAGGCTCCGGCTTCCCTAGACCAGTGTCCTGCAGGGGTGTAGACAAGCATTATGGACAATAACCAAATCATAAGATGTCAGTGTAGCTTGATGCACGTTGTTTGCTTTTGTACCCTTTATATTACCTACAACCAATCAGAGAAAACATAGGATTCTTGGCTTTTTGGGTCTGGCTTATTTCACTAAACACAATGGTCTCTGTCACATCATGCGTCTTGTACCATGTTCAATAATATAATTTAGGGTGCCTTAAAAAGTTCATGGAAAATAGGATTAAAAGATGTTTATTTTGTTGCACAGTTTTTAGTTTTCTCATATGTATTTTCTAGAACCTTTTGAAGGCCTCTCAAATGCATAGTTTTCAGATTTTTTTTTTGGTACCAAAGTAAAATTTT